CCGTGACAGTATGGAGGATTGAAAAAAGAGGGGCGATTCGGAATTCATTTGACATGTCATATATTGGAACTTGTAACCACTTACGCTCTTGAACATGCTCTATACGACAGAGACCAACGAGGGCTGTTAATAAGTTCTCGAAAGATAAGGTGTCAGCATTCCTTGAACAAAACTTGAATAGTTCCTTCTGCTTGTCCTCTGGAATGGGAGCTCCACCGAGTACGTGATAACAGAATTCCTAGAATAGGAGAGTCGATCAAAAACTAGACATTATAGAAGATATCGTAGAGAATATTGTGAAGGGATATGCAGTAAATCTGGTAGAAGGAAAAAACGTTACATCAAAAGTGATGAATGGCTTCTTGAAACCAGCAAAAGCTGCATGGAGCCTCCTGTACTCCTCGTCGGAAACTGAAATATATCGTAGTGGAAACAACAATCGCTACTATAATGAACGATTAGAGGGTATATAAGCTGCTAACAACGAGTGGGAAGTCTCAGATCTAGCAGGACAGCAGGACATTTTCACAGGTTCTACAGCAAGAAAGAGTGCAGGCCGTGTATGTTGACCTAATTCATGAGAAAGACTCATTTTATCTGTATGTTGAACAATATTCCCAATTGTGGAGACCTTTGGGGGACCTTTCTCAAACTTCGCTGAGAGATCCACCACATATGGATAGATTACACTGCTTACAGCCTTCCTATGTTTGTAAAATAGTAGGGGCTCCCTCATTATCTGCTTATTATGATAGTAGCTTTGATTTCTATGAAAATGGAGAAAATGATAGTTGTCGATTTCTCCAGCTTCAACTTAAAGAGCTTCTTTGGGATAAATAGGTAATGCTCCTTGCTTTAACGAATAAGCTTTCAACTAGAGACGCAAAGTAAAGCTAGCTGGAACAGATCAGGAAATACCACTCACTGTGAGCTCTTGCATCCTCAACACTGATAATCGGACCGTTTGTCGATGTTCCAAGTGAATTACCCATTTTTCTCAAGTGGAAACGACGAACATTGCCCTGAAGGGTTCAAAAGTTCATGTGAAACATATGACTAAAGTTATATAGAACCACATCGAACAATTCAGCCAAATTCCACGGAACATTAAGATGCAGAACACATTGGTTTCGGCCAGAACAGTGAAAAGCAAGTGATTTCGTTTTTCTATGCTTGATGGTATAGCCCGGAATTCAACGTAGCGTTGGGCTTCCGCTCGTCTGGTATTAAACTTTCTCTGCATTTACACTGCAGGCACAGGTTGCACGCGCATTTACCGAATTTCCTTCAATGTTCATTGAAGCGTGCTCTTGTTTGGAGCCTCACTGTTTGTTGTATGATTTTCTTCAAATTCGTTATATTTCCAAATGAGCGCTTCAGATTTGCCGCAGCAAATTGGTATTGCTCCTCTCAGGCTTTTCGGGGTTTCATCTTTATTTGACTGCGTTTAGAACCATCTTGGCATTTTTGTGAGCATTCGGTAGCTGAAGGCTTCCTTCGCGTTCATTTGATGTTCAGATCTTCTTTGGACAGGTTTCCTGTTGCAAGCATTGATGATGTGCTACCGCTGCAGCTCAAAAACACGTGAGGAAGACGCGACCCTCTCGCGACAAGACTATGGTGCCGCCTACTGGACACGGCAACGCCCAGCTTTCATTTCTGGAGCTTCAGTGGTGCAGTTATACCCCTGCCTATTCCCATTTCGAATGGTTAGAAAGGGGTAGCATCAGGGAAGAGTTTCCGCTTTTTTCCTTCTTTTCTGGGTTATTCGCCATTTTGTCATTAGGATTTGCCCCACAGAACTCACCATTTTTGAAAGCGGGGTGTGCCCATAACTTGCGCGCGTAGCAGTGAGAGGAAATGGAAATGCAATCACTACAAAGCGGATTAGTGACCGCCGTGGTCATCCTGTATACGGCGCGGCTTACTATTCCTAAGCGGAACTTGTTGTAGTAGTGTTTTGTGCCAGTACTTCGTATTTAATTGACTATCCTACGCGCGAACTTTGAGACATATTACAAAAGAACTTTGGCCCTGTTTAATCTCTTGTTGGGATGTGCCCCACGTTCGATTTCCGTTCAGAATCGTGGCGACATTTGAATGCAATTTCACCTTTAGAATGGCTCCAGGCCCACAGGATCATTTTGTTGGCTTACACAAGATATTATCCGGTTATGATTGCCAGGCGCTCCACACTTTTCCACTGTCTCCCCAACCCGCCCCCTAGTTCCACACAGTGTCTTGAATTCTGTTAATTTCGCGTATCCATATCCAAGTTGACTTCTTATCGGTAGTGGCAGGCTCTATCAATGATGCCTTTGTTTTCAGAAGAATTGGGTTCTGTTCATACTTCACGTCATTGTCCTGAGCGTATGGGGACGTTTTGAGCGTTGCGAACTACTAGGAAATATTGGTATCGATCTAGCATATGGCAGTGTTTTAAGCGTACGCAGGGTACAGCATCGTGATGTGTGAAATAGTGGTGTAGGTACGACCCCCCTCTCCTCGAGAAAGAGTGTCAGTACGACCCCCCCACCTGAATGAGGGTCTCGGTACGGTCCCCCCTTCCCCAACACCTACCTACCAATTTCCCACATTTTCCAGTTTTTCACACCCAAAGAATTTCCGTCGAGCAGGGCACATCATTGGTTGGGGATTTTAGTCGACTCTATACGACCCCCCTTTTTTGGGAGTTGGTACGACCCCCCCCAGCCCTCTGTCCTTCCTCATCGAATCGAGCCGTCGAGCGGGGGGGGCATATAGTACGTGAAACAGGAAAATCACCAAAAGTCAAACAAGTCAACCCGCCACTCCCACAACGCCAAAACGTAAATACGACCCCCTCCCAAAAATGATCAAATACGACCCCCCTCCCTTTACAACGTCCATGAAGCGAGAAAAATCAACTATCAAAATAAATTTTTCTCAGCCCAAATACCCCCCTCCTGGCGACCAAATACGACCCCCCCTGTTGGGGATTCCCCAACAACGATGTGCCCTGCCGTCGAGGAGGAAATATAGCGGCAAATTCTTCTCAAAGCCACATATGACGCCCTCTCCCAACAATGACCAAACAGGACCCCCTTCTCCCAAAAGAAAAGTACGACCCTCATCCCTTTGTGTTTCACACAACGATGCTGTACCCTGAGCTTACGTCACCATACACCAACAAAGTTTCGAGTGACTAGGAAATGATCTAGCCAGCGGCTCGAAACCCTAAATCGATATTTATACTTTCCTGATCGCTTGAGCAGCCATAGCGGTTCAGTTTTCCTTTATTTCCACAGGATTCTTTGATTCCTGTTCATTTCGAGCTACCTCACGTGTCTTCTTTGCTACCTATCTTAACATCTTCACTCCAGGTAATTCTACCTCTTCGCCTTCAGAATGACGTTTTTCCACTTCATGAACTGTGTGACCCTGGCATACGCTCCGTACTTCATCGCCTACAAGTATTCAGGTGAGAACGAATCAATTCTCAATTTTTCTACTACAATCACTTTTGCAACACTATTCATACTTAGGTATTGCTCATAAATCCAGTGAAAGGTTAGTAGCTAAGCCGTTTGGGCTTACTGAACGATTGGAATCCAGATGGCGATGCTTTGACAAACCACATCCTCACCTTTAACGTGTCACTATTAATTCCAAATATCAGCCCCGGATGAAAGAAAAGTGTCGGTGCCGCAACAGTCGACGAATTGAGGATCAGTTCTGAAAATTCTTCTCTGATGAACTAATCTTGTATAGTAATGAAAGGAAAAGTTCGCTCAGGAGCCCTTCTTCTAAAAAATCTTGGGCACAAGGGCATGGGCA